TTCCTGGCTTTCTTAAATGATTCATGAATTGTGCAGCATCCCATCTAGCAGATAGAAAGGAGCTCTTAGCTGCACAAAATGAAAGGCCTGTATAGGCAGAGGGCAAAGAGCCAAGAAAGTTGCAGGGAAAGCAGATTGGTTGCGGCAAGATTCCCCTTCCCTTGAGGGCCAGGCTGACGGGGTCTATTAGAAAGATTGCCTCACTAGTGCTGACCAGGTAATTCCAGATTGCCTGGTTTAAGATTCCATGTCTGGGAGAGGCTGTAACAGTAATTAAGAAAGGTATTAGGTTTAGGTTTGGTGACAGAAGCTTAGCCTAAGTGATTCTATTTGGGGCCTGTGTCTTATTTTTAACAATAGGAATGTCTTAAACACTTTTTTTTGCCAAGCAAACCTACGCAAAAGTCCATACAGATGGTTCAGTTTTCCTTTTCAGTTATGACATGTATTTCCTTTTCCTAACTAGACATCAAATAATTAAGTAATACTTGCCTCTTATGTCCCAGGGGCCATAGCCACAGAGGTGATCTCTTAGTATTATTCATCTCATTTAGCCCTTAAGCTTCAAATTATGGTCAAGGAGAGCTCCAAGATTCAGAGTTCTCCTTTGAATTCTGAGTTTTGTCTATGGAAAACCCTCAGAAATTATTTCTGTATTTACCTCTGAGAGCTTGATTTTCCTTTTACTGAAAAGTGTCAGTACATTCCCTAGACATCTTAAGAGCTCGTGCTGAATCCATGCTTGATTGCCCAGTCGTGTCCAACTCTTTGTGACCCCATGGACTGTAGCCCACCAGGCTTCTCTATCCATGGGATTCTGTAGGCGAGATCACGGGAGTTGGTTGTCATTTCCTCCCTCAGGGGAATTTCCCGGCTCAAAGATCAAACCCCTGTCTTCTGTGGCTCCAGCATTGTTAGGCGGATTCTTTACCCACTGAGCCATCTTCCACTTACCAAATGTTAAGCATGTGGCAAGTATTGTTTACATGTATTACTGGGATTAAGCCATGTAACTGGCACTACAGCCTCATGATGTTGGAAACCAAGGAAACTAACCTGCCAACGGTCATGCAGCTGATAAATGACAGAGCTGGACCCAAATCCAGTCAGACTACCTCCATGCTTTCAACACCACATTGCTTCTTATTATTTCTATGAAATGTGTTTCATATTTACCCCTTTCTGTCCATCCTCACTGATCACTCATTACTTTTGGTACTCTCAGGATGTCTTAGCTACATTATTGCAACAGTTTCTTTCTTTCTTTCTTTTTTAAATAAAGTGTCAGTTCAGTTCAGTCCTCAGTCCTGTCCAACTCTTTGAGACCTCATGGACTGCAGCATGCCAGGCTTCCTTGTCCATCACCAACTCCCAGAGCTTGTTCAAACTCATGTCCATCAAGTCAGTGATGCCATCCAACCATCTCGTCCTCAGTCATCCCCTTCTCCTCCTGCCTTCAATCTTTCCAGCATCAGGGTCTTTTCCAGTGAGTCAGTTCTTAACATCAGGTGGCCAAAGTACTGGAGCTTCACTTCAGCATCAGTCCTTCCAGTGAATATTCAGGGTGGATTTCCTTTAGGATTGACTGGTTTGATCTCCTTGCTGTCCAAGGAACTCTCAAGAGTCTTCTCCAAGACCACAGTTCAAAAGCATCAATTATTAGGCACTGAGCTTTCCTTATGGCCCAACTCTCACATCCATACATGACTACTGAAAAAATCATAGCTTTGACTAGACAGACCTTTGTTGGCAAAGTAATGTCTCTGCTTTTTAGTATGCTGTCTAGGTTGGTCATAGTTTTTCTTCCAAGGAGCAAACATCTTTTAATTTCATGGCTGCAGTCACCATCTGCAGTGATTTTGGAGCCCCCAAAAATAAAGTCTGCCACTGTTTTCATTGTTTCCCCATCTATTTGCCATGAAGTGATAGGACCAGATGCCATGATGTTAATTTTTTTAATGCTGAGTTTTAAGCTAACTTTTTCACTCTCCTCTTTAAATTTCATCACGAGGCTCTTTAGTTCCTCTTCACTTTCTGCCATAAGATTGGTGTTATCTACATATCTGAGGTTACTGATATTTCTCCTGGCAATCTTGATTCCAGCTTGTGCTTCATCCAGTCTGGCATTTCACGTGATGTACTCTGCATATAAGTTAAATAAGCAAAGTGACAATATAAAGTATAATTTTTAAAAAAAAGGAGGAGGAGAATGGGGAGAGAATATGCACAAAACAACTGTTTTCAGAAATACCATGGAGGTAATACTAACATTGTCAATTGTGTATAATTTACCAATTGTGTGGAAGGTACCAAATAAGTGATTGTGAGATATTTTAACGTCATTTGTGCCCTTGAGAATCAGGGTGGAAGAAAAGTAGAGACATAGAAAGGAAGAAATTAAGTAAAAGCCTTGCAGTCCCATATTTGAATTGGGCTTACCAGTATGAACTCATTAGATATTTTAATCTTTATATATATATATATATAACTTAGTTTTAATTGAAGGATAATTGCTTTACAGAATTTTGTTGTTTTCTGTCAAACCTCAACATGAATCAGCCATAGGTATACATATATCCCCTCCCTCTTGAATCTCCCTCCCATCTCTCTCCCCATTACACCCCTCTAGGTTGACACAGAGTCCCTGTTTGAGCTTCCTGAGACAAGCAGCAAATTCCCATTGGCTATCTATTTTACATATAGTGGACACAGGAGGTGGGGGAGGAAAGGGCAGAACAAATCAAGAGAGCAGCACTGACACATACACACCATCATGTGCAAAACAGATCAGTTCAGTTCAGTCGCTCAGTCATGTCCAACTCTTTGCGACACCATGGACTGCAGCAAAACAGATAGCCAGCAATTAACTGCTGTATTGCACTGGACACTCAGCCCCGCACCCCACAACTGCCAAAGCTTCTGAGTGTGTTTCTCTGCTTTCACTCTCTCTCTGATCATCTCTGGTGTCAGTGCCAGATTAATTTTCTTAAAACACTGGTTTGATTGTGTCACCACTCTGATCAAGAAACCATATATTTTTTTTTAAGAAACCATATTTTTTTACTGTGGTAAAATATATGTAATATTTATTATTTTAACCATTCAGTTCAGTTCAGTCGCTCAGATGTGTCCGACTCTTTGTGACCCCATGAACCGCAGCACACCAGGCCTCCCTGTCCATCACCAACTCCCGGAGTTTACTCAAACTCATGTCCATCGAGTCGGTGATGCCATCCAGCCATCTCATCCTCTGTTGTCCCCTTCTCCTCCTGCCCTCAAACCCTCCCAGCATCAGGGTCTTTTCCAATGAGTCAACTCTTCGCATCAGGTGGCCAAAGTATTGGAGTTTTAGCTTCAGCATCAGTCCTTCCAATGAACACCCAGGACTGATCTCCTTTAGGATGGACTGGTTAGATCTCCTTGCAGTCCAAGGGACTCTCAAGAGTCTTCTCCAACATCACAGTTCAAAAGCATCAATTCTTCGGCACTCAGCTTTCTTCACAGTCCAACTCTCACATCCATACATGACCACTGGAAAAACCATAGCCTTGACTAGAGGGACCTTTGTTCACAAGTGTCTAATTCAGTGACAGTAAATACATTCACAATGTTGTGTAACTATCACCACTATCTTTACGCAGAGCTTTTTTTTCATCCCAACAAAAACTCTGTACCTGTTAAACAATAATTTCCTCTTCCCCTGGCCCTTGGTAACCTCTATTTTACTTTCTGTGTCTACAAATTTGCAGATTTGAGAAACCACATTTTGCAAAATATATCTTCTAATTTTTCAAGTCTTTCCATAATTTGACCAGTCTATTTAACTTTATTTCTTCATATTTTCTAAATACACATTCTCCAATCTAATATCTGTTTTATTAACGCTATGTTCTCTCAACTATTGTACTTATATCCATAGCTAACACTACATAGTTCAGCTCCTTGAACCAGTGGGTTGGAGCTGGACAGAATCTTACAGGTTTGCTAGTGCAAACTCATTTCACAGGCTAGAGAGCTTACCAACACAATTGGTAGCAAAGATGGGATCTGAAGACAAAATCCCAATCATTTAAATCTACAGTTTACTGAACACTTACAGTGTCAGACTCCTACAAGGTCAGACACAGTACTAAGAATTTTATGTTGTATTTTTGTACAAGTTCTGGGGAGACTTTATCATTATTACTATTACCATCCTATTCTACAGATTAGGAAATCCAAATTCAGAGGAGAAATCTACTTACTCTGTTCATGTGCTTGCCTTCTCTTAATAATTAAATATAGTCTTGAATTTTTCCACTTGCACGAATCTTTTCTTCTCCACATGGAGGCAGTTTAAATCCTATGAGAGCGGTGATCATGTCTATTCTAACCTGGCAGAACTAGCATCATGCAGCTTTCACATTGTTTAGTAAATAAATATGGGTAAGTCGGTTGGTGTGCATGATATTTGGGAGGATTTGTTCCAATCTTGACACTATATTTTAAATATAAATGGTATGAGTAATGCCAACGACAACACAAATCCGTATAGTGAATGCAAAAGTGCCCTGATATCACAATGCTAGCACAGGGCGGATACTTATGAAACTGCAGTTGTCCTGTCTTGCTCTTTACAATTTACAAAGTCGCAACCTCAAAAGTCCTCTGTCCTTTAGCTCCTCATGGGTGCCTTTAACAACTGTGGAGATCTGAGCAGGATAGAAGACGCTGGTGTAGGTGGTCATTGCTGCCTCTGACTCAGGTTTGGTTTGGTTTGGTTTGGTTAGTCAGCTAGGCTACACCTGGTAGGTGAGTTCTGAGTTCTCCGGGTGGCTGAGACGTGACGGTGGTTCAGCTCCACCCTTCTTTGGTGTATTCAGCGCAGGGAGCCTGAGACACTGCCCCGCACAAAGATGGCGAAGAGCCCGGGGCTGGCCCAATGGGGAGTGGCGTTGCTACCGGTTGCCTAGGTAACAGCCAATGGGCTGCGGGAATTGTTCCCAGTGTGGCTACGCAGGATGGCGGCGTCCAGTGGGACAGGCACTGGAGGTAGCCGCGGAGAGGCAGGTGGCAAGGGCGAGCCTGGCGGAACCGAGGTCAGGGCCGCTGCAGTCCGGCGTCGGGGTGAGACGATCATCCTTGGAGCCCCGGCCCAGGTTGACTGGCAGCACGGGTGGGAGGGGGCCGGGAGAATGTGATCGGGAAAAAGGGACTGGGGAGCCCAGCCCGAAATGACAGGGGCTGGGGAGCGCGGGTCCATCCGGGGGGTAGCACCCGCGGGGGTCCCAGAACCCGGGCTTCCGTCTCTGCTGCGGGGTCTGAGGCTCGAGGGAGCCCATGGCCCCCGGGATAGCGAGCGGGGTGGGTGGGGGCTTTGTGAAGAGCGGATGGCAGACCTGTGTGAGCGGAAGACCCCGCCCGCGAGGAAGAGCTGACCCTGGGTGAAGGGAAGGAGCGGTGCTGAAAGGCCAGGACCGGTGGGAGAAGAAATAGGGAGGTCGACGAGAAGAGTTGCTTTCTTGTGGTCTAGGACTTTGTTTGCTCAGGATTCGCCTGTCACACTTTGGTGGAGAGGCGTCCCGCACACACTCAAGGGAGGCTTAGGGAAGTGGATGCTTAAATTAGCTGACGGTGGCATTCCTATGTCTAGCATCTCCAAACTGCTCAGGTACCAGCGGAAGTCACGAGGCTATATTAGAACCCAGCCGAGGCATTTTACTTTAACATGGACCAGAATAGTATCCTGGCAGTCCCCATTGCCCCAAGGCCTCTGGGTTTTTTGTTTTGACCTTCTTTCTGGCATCAGGATTTGCTTTCCACTTTCTGCAATCTTAACTGTCTCACAGTCTTCCTGAATAAGACCTTTATCTAACAGTGATACATTTGTTTACTTTTCCTGTGGAAGGAAGAACTGGTATAGTGAAAGAGATTTACAGACTTAAAAGAGACAATATTTTAAGCTCACTTAAAATACTTTAAAATGAACATTTGACTTTTTGTTCTAAGTCCCTTACAAGCCTGATGTTTGTTCATCAAAGCCTTCATTTTCTTCATTTTGGAATTCTAAAAGCATAAGAACTGCTTTCTTTATAGCTCAAAGAACTTTGACAAGACTGTCATACCCTGGGGAGGTTGGCTTTAGGGGAACCATGTGACGCTTATTAATATATGTGGGTTGTTAAAGTGGATGCCTTCAAAAAATATTCTTAAACTGAAAATCTGCTTTCTTTTAGTTTTTTTTTTTAATCTTCTGGATTTGGACATATGTTAATTACTGTGGATGCATAAATATTTTTGATCAGTTTGATTTCTGAAATTTTATAAAAAGACAAATGAAATGGAAACAAAAGTTTTCATCCCTGTCTTCTAGTTCTATTTGGAAATGTCTGGGGCAGGAGAAAATAAAGATAATGAGGATATAGTGTATTGTGTAGCCTAACAGTGTGTTGGTTTATGAGGACAAAATAGTCATTTTCTTTTAGATAAATGTTTGGTTTGATCCTTTGCAACCTATCTATCAAGAGAGAAAGGGTGGGCATCTGTTAAGAAGGATGACTCATCTTGACTTTCTAGCTAGATTCCACATTTGTATCTGAAGCCTAAACTCCTAGGCCATCTATTCTCTTTAAAAAGATTTTTTGAATAGCTGATACAAATACTGATTTGCATCCCTTATTAAAGTATTGGGGGCTTTTTTGTCTATATCAGCACTGGCTATACTTCATTAAACTAGATTTGTCTCAATAACTATGATTATTGATAAAGTTCCTTTTTGGGTCAGTGGCTATACAGCTATTAATTAGCATGGTTAATTACAGAAGTCATAAATGAAAACCCTGACACTGTCTCAGGCAGTGACAATATCAATTATTTGCACACATGTAGAAGTTTCTAATCAAGTGTGTTCAACCATGACCTGAGAGGAATGGAATGGAGTGTACATCTGGTTCCTTTAATTAACACTTCTGACTGTGTTCTTGGGAACTGACATCATTTTGACAACCAACTATTGAAGTTTGCTCTATCTCCCTAGAACAAAAAGGAATGGGAATTTGTAGTACCTGCAAACATACTACATTAAAAACAAATGGAAAAGGATGGTGGCAGGGTTAGGTTGAGAGATGATGTTTCAGTTACAATTGCTATATAACAGCTACCCCAAAATTAGCTGCTTGAAACCTGCCATATGGTGCTCACAGATCCTGTGAGTCAGGAATTCAGAGAGGGCGTCATGGCAGTGACCTCACTCTGTTCCATGATACTTCAGCTGAGATGCAGGTTCAATGGCTGGGAGCTGGAATCATTCTGAAAGCTCCTTTACTCACTCCTGGTGCCTAGGATAGGGTGGTTCAGAGATGAGGACTGCTAACTGAAAGTACCAACGCATGTGACTTTATATGTGGCCCAGTCTCTGAGCATGGTAGCCTCAGGGTAATCAAACTACTTATGTGGTGTCTCAGATCTCCGAGCTCAAGTTTACCAGTGAGCAAGATGGAAACTGCATCACCTTTTATGATCTAACCTCAGAACACACCATCACTTCCGTCACCTTCTATCGGTTGAAGCAATCACAAGCCTGGCCAGATTCATAGGTGAGGAGTTAGACACAAGTTTTTGATGGGACAGTGGCAAGGTCAAATTGTAGAAGAAAGTGTTAAGACAGGAAAGATGGTCGCAAATATCTTCGGAAAATACAGTCCACTCTATTTGGTAATGAGAAGCTAATCTTTCATTTCTTTGGCTTCTTTGAAGTGTTTAGGATATATTGCCCAAAAGCTAACACCATAATGAAAGAGTGGCTAGGTTTACAGTTGGAGCGACTGGCTAGTACTTGGTCCCTAGATAATCATCAAATTTTAGAGAAGCACTGTTCCCTTTCAGGTTCTTTCTACTGGTAGGATGCCACTGTTTGGAAATTTCATACAAGAAAAAGTAAACATACAAGAGACTGGGCCCCTGTGCCATCAGTCTGATTTCTCAACGTGCACTGCAATAACTCCTTCCAAAACTGTGAAGACAAATTAGCTGCTTCTAAACGTTTAAAGGGAATGTCCTTAACATCATCTTCCTTTGGAAATAATGATTTTGTGTTTATGTATCAGAACAGTTGTTTAGTTTCAATATTTAATAGAAGATGCAACCATTCATATTCTGATTTGTTTTGAAGGAATGAAGTAGTTCAGATTTATATCATAGCTGACACTTTCAGTTATCTGATGTAATTATTTCTGGGAAGAGCTAATGGTAGCCTCTAGCTGTCAAAATGTCTGTCTGGATTGGAAAGAGTTTTTTTCTTCTTTAGTTTTGATGGCAAACTGCTTCTCTTCTCCTCATTAATGTTGTATTTGCCATGGAGTCATATTGACCTCTACCCCAGGCATACTCTGGTGCTGGGTTGATTATAAGAAGCTTGTGAGCCTGAAATTAGATGCTGACCTTGTGGAACGTTGATGCGACAGAGATGGCATGCCAGATGCCATAATCACCTCACTGAGAAATAGCCCCCTAGAGGTACTGAGGGGCATTAAGACAAGAAAATGATCCTTGTCTTGGGATATCTTCTACTATTTAAGGGACCCTGGATATGGAGCTCCTGAGTAATTGGAAAATTGGAAAAAATCTCTGGTTGGACCTATGGGAATGACTCTGCAGTGAAGTGAAAGTCACTCAGTCGTGTCCAACTCTTTGCTACCCCATGGACTGTGGCCCACCAGGCTCCTCTGTCCTTGGGATTCTCCAGGCAAGAATACTAGAGTGGGTTGCCATGCGCTCCTCCAGGGCATCTTCCCAACCCAGGGATCAAACCCGGGTCTTCTGCATTGCAGGCAGATTCTTTATGGTCTGAGCCACCCAGGAAGCCTCTAAACATCACCTAAAGAACTTCCACAAGGCTGGCCTTCATTATAGAGGTAGAAATTAATATCCCTGTGTATTTGGGTGAGAGCACAGGGCTTCTGCTCTGTTCAGGCCAGGCTGTCTTCACATCAGATCACTTAGGAGCTTTTAACATCTGTATCAAAATCATTATGACATAGGCCAAAATTAGAATATCCCATAAGGCACTGATAAAGAACAGATGAGTGGCTTTAATTTACTTTTCCTCTACTCAGTACTTACCTCATTAGTCAAAATTGTTAATTATTTTTCCAAAATGTTATTTGAGTTTTTCAGGAAACACAAAAGATCCTGAATGGCCAAAGTAATCTTAAGAAAGACAACAAAGCTGAAAGTATCATGCGTCCTGATTTCAAACTACACTACAAAGCTAGAGTGATCAAAAGAGTATATATGGGCACAAAAACAGGCACACAGATGTAGAACAGAGAGCAGAAAAATGAACCCACAGTTAAATGGGCAACTAGTCTACCACAAAAGAGGCAAGAATATACCATGGAGAAAAGATAGCCTCTTCAGTAAATTGTGTTGGGAATACTGGGCAGCTGCATGCAAAGGAATCAAATTGGACTACTCTGTCACATCATGTACAAATGAACAAGCCCTCAAAATGGAGTAAAGACTTAAATGTAAGTCGTGACACCACAAGACTCCTAGAAGAAAAGATAGGCAGCATGCTCTTTGACATCAGTCTTCGCAATATTTTTTGGATATGTTTCCTCAGGCAAGAGAAACAAAAGCAAAAATTAACAAATGGGACTTAAACTAAAAAGCTTTTGCACAGTGAAGGAACCTATCAACAAAATGAAAAAGCCACCTACTAAATAGGAGAAGATATTTGCAAATAATGCATCTGATAAGGGGTTAATATCCAAAATATACAAAGAACTCATAAAGCTCAATATCAAAAAAGCAGACAGCCTGATTGAAAAATGAGCAGAGAACCTGAATAGATATTTTTCCAAAGAAGATGTACGGATGGCCAACATCACCGACCATCAAGGAAATGCAAATCAAAACCACAATGAGAAGACTTGCTTGGTGGTCCAGTGGTTAAGAATCTGCCTGCCAGTGCTGGGGACATGGGTTTGATCCCTGGTCCAGGAAGATGCCACATGTTGAGGGGCATCTAAGCCCATGGACCACAACTACCGAAGCCCACACACTCTAGAGCCTGTGCTCTGCTACAGGAGAAGCCACTGCAATGAGAAGTCTGTGCACCACAACCAGGGGGTAGCCCCAGCTAGCTGCAACCAGAGAAAGCCTGTGCAAGCAATTAAGCCCCAGCACTGCCATAAATAAATTTAAAATTTAAAAATATTTCTAAAAACCCACAGTGAGCTATTACTTCACACCTGTTAGAATGACTATTATCAAAAAGACAACAAATTATAGGTGTTGCCAAGGATGTGAGAAAAGGGAAATCTTGTGTACTATTGATGGGAGTGTAAATTGGTACAGCCACTATAGAAAACAGTATGGTAGTTCCTCAAAAAATTAAAAACAGAGCTACATATGATCTAGTACTACCACTCCTGGGTATTTATCTGAAGAAAACGAAAACACTAATTGGAAATGATATGCACCCCTATGTTCATTGCAGCATTGTTTACAATAGCCAAGATATGGACACAATTTAAGTGCCCATCAATAGATGAATGGGTAAAGAAGATGTGGTGTATATTAATGTATATGTATATATACGGTAGAATACTACTCAGCCATAATAAAAAATGAAATCTTGCCATTTGTGACAATATGGATGGACCGCTAGAGGGTATTTTGCTAAAATGAAATAAGTCAGATAAAGACAAATGCCATATGATTTCACTTATACATGGAATTTATAAAACAAAAATAGATGAATGAACATAACAAAACAGAAAGTTACAGAGAACAAACAGATAGTTGCCAGAGGAGAGGGCATAGGAAGAAGAGAAAGAGAAAGAAAGAAAGAGAAATAGGGATTGTATGTTAAAAAATACATCAAATTATTCTCTTTATCTCTGTTTATATTTAATTATGTTTTGAGTATCTTAACCCCTTCTTATAGAATACCCTTGAAGATAAACATTGTTTGACCACTCATATGAAGCTATACCTAGTCAGTCTCCAAATATTATCGGTTGTTTTCATTTATTCTGTTAACATATCTAATAATCATTCCTGCTCCCATTACCCTGGGCTTCCCTTGTGACTCAGCTGGTAAAGAATCCACCTGCAATGCAGGAGACCTGGGTTTGATACCTGGGTTGGAAAGAACCCCTGGAGAAGGGAACGGCTACCCACTCCAGTATTCTGGCCTGGAGAATTTGATGGATTATATAGTCTATAGGGTCGCAAAGAGTCAGACACAACTGAGCGACTTCACTTTCACTTTCACTTTATCCTGTTGTCTCCCTAGTTCAGGCCTTAGGAGCTCAAACCTGGGCATATCAGTTAGCTTTTGCTAGGTGTGTTATTACACAGCATCCCCAAATTATAGTGGCTAAAACAACCATTTCTTTAGTCTGTGATTCTGTGGGTGAGTAATTCGGGGTTGAGCTCAGGAGGGCAGCTCTTCTAGTCCTGCCTGAGCTCACCCAGGCATCTGCAGTCCGCAAGTCAGATAACCCACCCAGATCCAATGGGCAGAGAAATAAATAACCTGCCTCTTAGTGGAGGATCTGCCATGTCACATTACAAAGGCATGGATGAAGAGAGAATATGTCATGTGCATTTTTACAGTTGACTATGGACAGTCGGTTGGCCTGGCGTGCTGTGATTCATGGGGTCGCAAAGAGTTGGACACGACTGAGCGACTGAACTGAACTGAAAGAATCACATCTCTTGTAGCTTTTCTGGCTGTAGGCTTTTGCTGTTCCAACCCATCCTGCTTCCTTCTGCCACATTCATTTTCCTTAGACTCTGCTTTCATAGTTTGTGTTGTAACCCCCAGAGGTTTCTTCTTTTCCCCTATCTTATCAGCCATCAGCCCTTCTGCCCAGCTTCCGAAGGCCTCACTAAGCTGGCCTGACCCTAAAAGCAGGTCCAGGGATGGAAAGAACCAGTGGCAGTCGGGGAGGCACGGGCACCATCATCATCATTGCTCACTAAACTAGTTCTTAGCCTCTTTCGGCTTCTGTTTTCTCCAAATGGTTCTCCCTCCAAAATGAGGGGGTTTGGATTCTTTTCAGATTTAAGATTTAGGCTGGGTGTACATAAATGAATTTACTTCCCATTGAAAGTGAAATTGCTCAGTTATGTCTGACTCTTTGCAACCCCATGGACCGTAGCCTACCAGGCTCCTCTGTCCATGGAATTTTCCAGGCAAGAGTACTGGAGTGGGTTGCCATTTCCTTCTCTAGGGGATCTTCCCGACCCAGGGATCAAACCTGGGTCTTCCGCATTGCAGGCAGATGCTTTACCATCTGAGCCACCAGAGAAGCCCTACTTCCCATTACTCTAAATAAACCTTCAAGACCCGGCTTCTTATTTCCCGCTGCACATGTCATGTTTATGTTGCTCTTGGTGTTTTCATCCCTGTGTTTTTTCAGTCTGGAATTGCCCTTTGCATTCTTCACTGCTTGTTTTAAATTCTGCCAATTCCTTGTCTTTGTAATCTCTGCCATCCAGTTTGATATTTAATTATATTATCTCTCATATTATTCAGTGTTTCAATTGTTACTTTTATCAACTAGACTACAAACTCATCAAG